GGCATGCCAAGCAAACAGCAATTCAAAAAGCAGTGGTTGCAATCCTAATCTTGGGTAAAATTGACCCCAAAGCACAAACCATAAAAAGATAAGGAGGGACATTATATAATACTCAAGGGAATTGTAGACAACAAACCACTAAACATTGTAAATATATATTCCCTAAATGAGAGACCTGCTGAATACGCCAACCAAACACTCAAAAAGATGAAAAAATAAATCATAACCTCAACAATTACAGTGGGTGACTTCATACACTGCTCTCTGAGAAAGATAGATCACAGGGAAAGAACTTCAACAAGGAGGCTAGAAGTCTAAACACTACAATTAGACAATATGACTTGGTAGATATTTACAGAGCTTTTCATGCAAATACAAAGAATTTCACATTCTTTTCAAGCCCACATGGCACATATTTGAAGATTGACCACATACTGGGGGATAAGGCAAATCTACATAAATTTAAGCACATTGGTATTATATAGACCTCTTTCTCTGACCACTGTGCCACAAGGCTGGAAATCAACAAAAGGAAGATGAAGAAAACAAGAGCAAACAATTGGAGGATGAATAACTCTCTATTACAAAAGGAGTGTGTACTGGCACAGATCAGAGATGAAATTAGGAAATTTCTAGAAACCAATGAAAATGAGAACATGACACACCAAAACTTATTGGACACAACAAAGGCAGTTAACAGAGGAAATTTCATAGCAATACATGCACACCTGATAAAGGAAGAAAGACTCATAATTGATATGCTGGCACAAAATTTACAACAACTAGAGCAGAGTCAGCAGGACAATCCTACTAATTAATATCAAAAGAAAAGAAAGAATAAAAATCAGGGCTGAGATTCAGGAGAGGGAAAATAAGAAAACTATGGGAAAAAATTAATGCTGCTCAATTTGCTTCTTTGAAAGGATGAGCAGAATTAACAGACCACTGGAAAACCTAACCAAAGAAAGGAGGGAACAAATTTCAGTGGCAAGAACAAACGATGAAAGAGGGGACATTACAACAGACCCTAATGAAATTAACAGGCTAATTTCAAAGTACTAAGAAGGACTGTCCTCCACTGAATTCAACAACTTGGAAAACATGGACATATTTTTTGAAAAACAATCCCTCCATAATATCTCCAGTGGACATCAAGAATCTCAACAGACTCATAACAATAGAAGAAATTTCTTAGACAAGCTTATCAAGGGATTACAAAAAATATCCCCTGGACCAGATGGCTTCACAGGAGAATTCTACCAAGCATTCAGGGAAGAACTAACACCAATCGTACACAAACTCTTCCAGAACATAGAATAAGATGGCAAACTCCTGAACTCCTTCTATGAAGCTAGTATAACTCTGATACCAAAACCAGGCAAGGATGCCACAAGAATAAAAAACTATAGGCCAATATGTCTAATGAATATCTATGAAAAAATCCTTACCAAAATACTGGCCAATAGAATACAAAAGTATATAAAACACATAATTCACCATGACCAAGTGGGATTCATACCAGGGATGCAGGGATGGTTCAACAAACGAAAGATCATTAGTATCATTCTCCACATTGACATGAAAAACTATAAGAAGCACATGATAATATCGATAGATGCGGAAAAAGCATTCGACAACATCTAACACAAATTCCTGTTTAAGACACTTGAGAAGATAAGAATTGAAGGAAAATTCCTCAAGACAATACAAGCTATATATGAAAAACCAACAGCCAACATGGTAGTCAATGGAGAAAAGATGTACACAATCTCACTGAAAAAGGGGACCAGACAAGGATGCCCGTTGTCCCCACTCCTATTTAACATCATACTGGAGGTTTTAGCTAACAGCATAATGCAAAGAAAAGACATCGAATTTATTTGCCTGGGGAAAGAAGAGGTGAAACTATTGTTATTTGCAGATGATATGATTTTATATATGGAAAATCCCAAAAGCTCCACAAGGGGAGTACTGGAAGCAATAGCAGAGTGGCAGGAAACAAGATCAACAAACAGAAATCCATTGGACTGCTATATGAAGGTAAACAAATGGCGATCTAGCTGAGAAGCAACAAAGCCCACTTGGGAGAAACACATCAGCCTGTGTAATCACAAAGTGCCAAAGGGATCAGGTATCAGGTATCAGAGAACAAAAATTCATATCATTGTGTGCTCACCTACCCAATATGATCACTGAAGACAAACGGGTGCATAAGCAAATATGGTGAAGAAAACTGACGGTGCCCAGCTATCAAAAGATAGAGCGTCTGGGGTCTTAAAGTCTTGAAGGTAAACCAGCAGCCAACTAGGTGAGAAGCGACAAAGCCCACACGGAAGAAGCACACCAGCCTGTGTGATCACGAGGTATCAAAGGGATCAGGGATCAGGCATCACAGAACAAAAAAAAAAAATCCTATTATTGTGAATGAGAGGGAGTACAGATTGGGGACCCAAGACCCATCTGTAGGCAACTGGACATCCCCTTACAGAAGGGTCATGGGTAGGAGATGAGCCAGTCAGGGTGCAGTGTAGCAATCATGAAACATACAACTTTCCTCTAGTTCCTAAATGCTTCCTCCCCCGCCACTATCATGATCCCAATTCTACCTTCCAAATCTGGCTAGACCAGAGTATGTACACTGGTACAGATAGGAACTGGAAAGACAGGGAACCCAGGACCATCCCTTTAGGACCAGTGCTGAGTGTGGTGATATTGGGAGAGTGGAGGGAGGGTAGGGTGGAAAGGGGTAACCGATGATAAAGATCTACATATAAACACCTCCTTGGGGGATGGACAACAGAAAAGTGGGTAAAGGGAGACACCATACAGTGTAAGATGTGACAAAATAATAATAAATTATCAAGGATTCATGTGCGGGAGGAGCAGCAAGGGAGGGTGGATAATGAGGAGCTGATATCAAGGGCTCAAGTAGAAAGTAAATGTTTTGAGAATGATAAGGGTAACAAATGTACAAATGTGCTTGACACAACGGATGTATGTATGGATTGTGATAAAGGTTGTACGTGTCCCCAATAAAATGATTTAAAAAAACCAAGCAAACACAATTAAAAAAAAAAAAGCTACTTTCAGAGATGGGCCTTTTAATTGAAAAGTGCCACTGAAAATGGAAGTGTTTTTAACTGAATGTAATAAAACACCCAATCAAAATTGAGTCAGGGGAAACAACAACAACAAAAAAGAAAGACAGAAAATGACTTGATGGAAACACTAAAAGGACTTGTTCAGAATCATCTGGATGATTGTGTGTGTCTATATTCATATATAGGTGTACGTGTATCTATAGATGATTACCTTGTAGAAGAGTGTAAGTGCTCTTCTCCAGGTTGGTCTCTACCACCCAGAGGTAAAATGGAAAATCCAATCCAAGAAAAATGAAAAAAAAAAAAAATTGCGTGTACTAAAGGGGTTCTGATTCTCTGTTGGCTGTTGTTGTTTACACTAGGGTGTAACATTTGACTAAGTTAACCACATGATAAGCACAGAAAAGTGCTTGCCATTACAGCCATTATGATAAACCGTAAGCCGGTAGCATTCTGGTAAACTTGGCTAGGGCTCAGAGTGCATGCTCACGGCTAGCTAAGAAGACAAAAAACAAACAAAAAGATGAAGAAAGATGAGTATCAGTTTCAGTTTCCCTGAAACTTGTGTGCAAATAAGTTCAAGACAGACCTATATCAGAAGAGTCTTTAGTGTCTCCCAGCTGAGATTTTTCCTTTTAGTAAGTTCTAGGTCCCAACAGTATGTTTAATATGAGCATACGTCTATCAAATCCGTTTTTCATGAGCTTAATCCTCTCTTCTAGGTCAGTCCTTGCCATCCTTCAACAATGAGCAAGTACATAGTCCTGACGGAAAATAGATCCTCAGTGCAACTTTCCTGACCCAAGTTCACTAATGCAATATAAATATTGCACATATTTATGGCTCCCAGTGCCAAAGACGTAGGTTGTTCTTTGGGCTGCTAACTGCAGTCAGCAGTTCAACCCCCAGTTGCTCTGAGGGCGAAAGATGAGTCAGTCTGCTCTGATAAAGGTTTATAGCTTTGGAAATCCACCGGGCAGCTCTATTCTGCCCTATAGGGTCACTGCGTCGGAATTGATTTGATGGCAGTGGGTTCGCTTGTTGGATTTACAGATGTTATACAGACATGAAAGCGCTTCCCAAACTGCCAAACTTACAGTCAGCAGCCAAGCACTTACTTTTTTCTTTTCTCTTTTACTTTTCACCACCCAGGGTCTCCTAGTTTGTATAAACAAGGAGGGGTCCTCAAACTACGGCCGGAGGGCCATGTGGGGCCCGCTGAGGACATTTATCCAGCCTGCCAGGTGTTTTTGTTCCATTTTGTTTTTTTTTACTTTAAAATAAGGTATGTGCAGTGTGCATAGGAATTTGTTAGTAGTTTGTTTGTTTTTTTAATAAAACTATAGTCCGGCCCTCCAACCGTCTGAGAGACAGTGAACTGGCCCCTGTTTGAAAAGTTTGAGGCTCTCTGAACTTGGTGTTATCCATCTGTCTTCTTGCCTCATTGGCCCATTTCTCATTTGCTGGACCACCCTGACACAGAGAAATTATGCAGCCTTTATGACCCACGTTCCTTAGGGCTGTATTACTTAGGGGTCACTTTTAGCACAACTGGAATATCTTCGTTTCTTGGGGGCTAGGAATCCACGGTGTCTAAACTAAGGCGTGGTCAACCATGGCCTTAGGTTTCAGATACATCATACTCCAAGCAATAGAATCTTCTTGAGGCTCCAGAGCCAAGGCCTCAATCTGCAACGCGCATGTGCAGCATTGAAGCCCTCCAATGAGAAGCGGCCGGAAGTGGGCTGGGGGGCGGGTGTAAGGAAGGCGGCGACTGGCCAGCAGGGGGCGCCCTGGAGGCAGCGGCGTGCGGTCGCTGAGGTTCAGCGGACGCCATTGCTGCGTGGAAATTGTGCGTCGCCCTTTCCGGCCTCGGCAGACTGTCCGCAGCCCTCCGCCATGTCGTTTCGCAACCGGTGCAAGTACCAACGCGGAGACTTGGTGTTTGCAAAGCTGAAGGGCTTCGTGCACTGGCCCGCCCGCATAGAACAGACGAATGAGTCCAACCGATACCAGGTGTTCTTTTTCGGGACCCACGAGACGGCGTTCATGGGCCCCAAAAACCTTTTCCCGTATGAAGAGTCCAAGGACAAGTTTGGCAAACCCAGCAAGAGGAGAGGGTTCAGCGAAGGGCTGTGGGAGATCGAGAACAACCTACTGTCAAGGCTGCTGACGGCCACGTGTCGCAGGCGAAGAGCTGTGGGGACACCCCGGGGCCCAAGGCCGCAGAGGCCGCCAGGAATAGAAAGAGGGCCACCGATGGCGGAGGCGACAAGAAGGAGAAGCCAACCCTCCTGGAGACCACCGAGGGGGAGAAGGAGAAAGCTGCGTCCAAAAGGAGCGCGGGCGACCAGCCCGAGGACTCCTCCAAACGTCCCAAAGGGGGTGAGCCCCACGGGGACGAGAAGGAAGAGGCTGGGGTCAGCCACGAGAAGGGCCCTTTGGTCGAGGCTGAGAACCACCACACCGCCTCGGGAGAGCCCAGCCCCCACTGCAGGCCGCCCCTGGAGGAGCAGGGACCCGAGGCAGTGAAGGGTGCTTCGGAGGAGAAGGATGAGGCCGAGGCCCCCATGGTCAGAGATCCGGAGAGCCTTTAGTTACCAGAGTTTCCGAAGAGCCCACACCTGTTCTTGTTGCTGCCTGTGAATGTTAGCCAAGAGGACTGGCCGTGACCTTCAATCGGAGACTGCCTTCCAGACTCCAACCCGCGCCCTCTCCCTCCCCTCTCTCCCTCCCCAGCTTTGTCTCTGGACACTGACCTGCTGGGAGCCAACCAAGTAGCCCTCATCTTAGTGCCCCCACAGCCCTGTGATCTGAGTCAGGGGCCCTGGGTCCTCATCTCCGTTCCGTTCCCCGCTGTGACCAGGGTTTTGGGTGGGACTTGGACCAAGTGCCTCCACCTATGAACACCCCCAACCCTTTTCTCTCTGCCCCAGGCTTTCCTGGGTTTCTGCCGGGATCAGGGGTAGGAGTGGATGGGATGGAGCTTAAATAGCAAGGTAAATAATCAAACGGTGTGGGGGTGGGGGTGGGGGGTGGCTAGAAAAGGCAAATCTTAAATGGTGTACTTGTGGAAGGGTAACATCTTGAGCCCCTGCCCCCTCCTGCCATACTTAGCTTGTTGTGAAATGCTGCCCTTCCATTTGTGGACCCAGGGATTCGGGGTGTTGTAATTTTTGAGGCTTACATGTTTGGGTGGGCAGGCGGCCTGAGGTCTGATTGGTTGATTCTGCCCAGCTTGGGGGTGAACATCTGCCCCCCATTCAGATCTCTGATTTCACAGAAGGGTTTCCTTGGGGGAGATTGCTGACGGCTTTTTCCCTTTATAAGAACACTTCCTAGTCATATACTGTAAACTAGAGAAAAGAAAATCAAACACCTATCACTCAAGTGCCTCCACGTGGCTCTCCCATCACCAACCCCATTTCCGAGTTGCCTCTGGGGGCTCCCGTTCTCTTTGGGGTTTGATGAATTTCCTTTCTTAACTGAAACTCTGGTTTCTTGGTGATGCCCATTCCCAGCCGCATAACTCCCAGGGTCCCCTTAATGTCATTAGATCTGATAAGGAACCCACTGAGACAACTGAGGGAAAAAGCGCCCCTCCCAATCTTACGAGGGTCTCCACACCTTTCTTCATCTCTTTTCTTTCACCCCCAACCCTTTCCCTTGGGCTCCGATTAAATAAAAGAAAGAAATAGTTTCCATTATAGCTTTGAAAGTTTAGCCCTAGAATTCTAGATTATTTCAGTCCTAGGAAATAAAACCTATTGATTCCTTAAAGCAAATTACTTCTCCCGCCTCTTCCTTTGGTTTCTAAAGAATCATCTCCTACATGTAATTGCCCATCTTTCTGTTAGGTTTTGAAACAATTTTTTTGTAATGTGCAGAGAAGATTTATAATCCCTCTAGAAGAATCAATTTTACTAATTGTATAAATCAATTGATTTATTTTATGGATTTTGAATGACTGCATCACTAGATGGTGAGGTCCAGCAGGTCCAAGGTCCAGGAGGCAGCCGGAAAACTTCAGCAGGCTATGTGTGTTACAATCTTGAGGTAGAATTTTTTCTTCTGGGAGAAACGTCACTGTTTTGTCTGTTTAGGTCTTCAATGGATTAAATCAGTTCTACCGACAATATCAAGGGTAATCTTGTTTAGTTACAGTCAGCTGGTTGTGTTAATCACAAAATGCATTCAAAGCAACATTTGGACTGGTAGTTGAAGAAACAACTAAGCACCAGAATCTAATTTGACAAATTAACCAACACAAGTCTCTACCTCTTGCCTTCATTTTATTTACAAAGGCGCTTCAAAATGTTTATGGGAATCTTTTATTATCTTTTTTATTCCCTTTCCCCCCATGAACCTTTTAATTCCTGCTAGTAAAATAGCTCCTGTTTTTGCTTAAAGAGAATGGAAACAAACTGGTTAGAATTCAAAGGTGGGGAACACGTGGCCTGCAGGCCACATAAAACCCAGGACATTTGCAATTCCAGTTACCATCGCTGCTTCACCAAAGACAAGCAGTTCCAACCATCACATTAGGGGTGCGTTAATTAAGGGTCTGGCTTGTATGACCCATGTGCGATGTTAATGGCCCTAATCAGGGAGGAAAAAAGAAAACAACCTTCTCCCCCTTTGGTTTAGATAAGGACAAACCGAGTCAAATGAGTTTCTACTATTTTATGTTTTCCTAAACAACCAGTCTAGAGAATGAAAGTGAGGAGATTAGTCTTGATCTATCACATTCCTATTTTTCTGTTTATTTTTTCACATAGTATCGCCATTCTATTTCCTTTCATGCCTTTCACGGAGAAATATGACCCAAAATTCAAACCCACTGCCAGATAGTCAATTCTGAACAAAGTAGAACTACTCCCTAGACTGATTCCCAGGACTGTGAATCCATGGAAGGAGAGTCTGTGGAAGGCCCTCTGTCACCAGAAGAGTGGCTGGTAGATTCAAACCAAACAACCGGCTTCTGTGTTAGCCATCCACTGCTTAACCCAAACTAACACTATTGCCAAGACTCATGTGAAATTCAAAATAGAACGGTTGCTTTCTAATTCTACTTTTAAAGTTTATAGTATCTACAGGATATTCTGTGTCTCTTCAGTAATTTTTTTCACCAAAACACTGGTTCATGTTAAGTATCTTGGGATAGTTAAATACATGTAATCGTAATCATATATTTGATCTCAGTTTGTAGATCCCTCAACACTACAGCCTGAAAACCACACCGAACTGGTCATCCAGGCGGTCTCAGTTCATGATGACCTATGGAGGACACAATAGAAGTACTGTTTACGGTGTTAGAGACCATTAAGATGAATAATCTTTTTTCTTAACCGCTTTATTAGGGGCTTATACGATTCTTATCACCATCCATCCATACATCAATTGTGTCGAGCACATTTGTACATTCATTGCCCTCGTCATTCTCAAAACATTTGCTCTCCACTTAAGCCCCCGACATCAGGTCCTCATTTTCCCCCTCCCTCCCTGCTCCCCCCTCCCTCATGAGCCCTTGATAATTTATAAATTGTTTATTTTGTCATATCCTGCCCTGCCCGACATCTCCCTTCACCCACTTTTCTGTTGTCCGTCCCCCAGGGAGGAGGTCACATATAGATCCTTGTAATCGGTTCCCTCTTTCCAACCCACTCTCCCTCTACCCTCCCAGTATTGCCACTCACACCACTGGTCCTGAATCTTTAAGGGGACAGACAGTCGCATTGTTCTGCAGAACAGCTGGTGGGTTTGAACCACCAAACTTGCAGTTAGCAAACAAACGCTTAATCTACAGGGCCATCAGAGCTCCTGCATGGCTGTAAAAGCTCTGGTAAATTCCACATGTTAGGCCACCACTAACTGCACTCAATTGAAAACTACCGTTTTCTGTCCTTGTGTGAGATTATAGTATTTGACTCCAAAGTATTGACAAGGGGATTCCTTGTTTTCAATTCCTGCTATTGCAATATTGATTCTAGACGTTACTATTAATTGAATGTGTACGATGTGAGGGGAAGAATGCCTATATCCAATCTTTGTAATAATCTGGCAAGGCAGACATTAATACTCAGAATTTCCATCTACAGAATCTCTTCTTACTCAAAGACGTAGCTTTTCCGGCCTGCCACAGAACACTCAGAATTCAACAATTTCACTGCTCCAAAGCTCAAACGCATTTCACTGAATTGCTTAGAAAGAACGGGGGCGAGGGGGAATGTGCTCTTAAATGAAATCAGAAGTGAATAAGATTGCTATTTGATTAGTAATATTATGTAGCCAACGTATGTATTTTACACAAAGTCTTTGTTTATATAACAACCCTATTAGGTAGCTACTCCTATTATCTCTAGGGTTGAGGGAGCTTAGGTTCTGAGCTGTTAAGAAATTTCCCCCAGGTCATACAAATGCTAAGTGGCAAAGCCAAGATTCAAAGGCAAGTGTGTCTCGCTCTAAGTCATAGGTACTTTGTTCATGCATCTTTTTCTACATGCTCACTTGCAAAATCGTGTACAAAATAAGTACCCCCATATATCTTCCATTGAATAAAATTTGTATCTCAAAGAATAAATTAATGAACATTGCTCGTGGGTGTGTGGGCACCTGACAAATTGTTTTCTCTTTAAATGACTTGGCGAAATGATGACAATTGGCACCTTTAATAATATTCTTTCAAGATTCTATATGCCTATAGAAAGTGTGACTATATATCGGAATAGTTGCCACAGGCAGGCATATGGTTTTGATAAGGTTTTTATGGATCCCATCTTCTAAAATGATTCAATAACCTGAGAGATAGAAAATGAAATTACTACCATTTGAGTCCCTCTCTTTGTGTTCTTTCTTCTTCTTCCATTTTAAAAATTATTATTATACTAATGGTGAAGATGGAAGATGAAAATAGTGTCATTAAGAAGCAGTCCTTGCCTTTGCTTCTTTGGTGACTATCACGCTGTAATGACAATGGTAATCTATCTAGCAGTCCATTCTAAAGAACGATGCACTTGGTTACTAAACACAATGCAAACCCAAGACAGAAAAGCAACGTATGGTCAATCTGTGTTCTCAACCTTGTTTTCATGGGCAGTAGACCCCAAACAGCCATTCATTCATATGCTTTGATGGCTAAGAGTGCTTTTATGTGCATTGACTGAAAAAGATGCAGTTTTGTGAAAAATTCTTTGGTTGCCTAAAATTCCCATTAGTTCCAGGGTTCCGTTTGTGTGTTTGTGCTCTTCTGGAGAATGTGTGCCTCCATGACAAAATGACCAATCAACAATCTTCTTACTGAAGCAAGAACGTAGCTGACCTGTGGCTAATGCAGTGTTAGCGAAGAGTCAAACATGTTCACGAGTGCTCTGCAGATCTTGTGTAAATGTGTGCTCCTCGTGTGGCTAGTGAATTGCAGACACACGTGGCATCTTGGATTCTGTGGGGCTTTCCTATGCGATCATGCACACAAGCATCACTGATTATACCACTTTGGCAAGGAGCTTAGATGCATCTGAGGGTTGGATCTTTTATTGCTTGCCAAGACTCAGCTATTCCAAGCTTTGTGGATTCCCACCGAAGGCACAGACCCTTCTTG